TCACTTCCATTTATTTAGTAAGTCTAAAATTATGTGCTGAACATCTACCATATGCCAGGCACTATGCTAGGGACTTGGGCTACAATGATGAGCAGGGAAAGATGAGGTACTTGCCAGTGTGTTTTAGTGCGGAAGAACCATAGAATCAACATGTAAAACTGTCCCTGTGATAACTGTTGTGAAGAAGGTGTATACAATGTCAAAATGGTCTTGAATAGATTAGTTTGAGTTCACTACAGATACCAGGGAAGGCAGGCTTCTCTGAGGAAGTGATGTATGAATTGAGGTCTGAAAGTTGAATAGAAGTTAGGCAAATGAAGGAAAAAGAAGCCAGAATTACCCCCAGATACACAGAAGCCCCATGCTGATGCATCCCTGTGTTCAGTGCCTGCATCTCGCCCCTGCCCCCCATCACCATGACCCAAAGAAAGACTGAAGGGGATGCTAAAAGAGATAAAGGCAAGGTGAAGGATGAACTACAGAGAAGAGCTGCAATATTATCCACCAAACCTGCTCTTCTAAAGCCAGAGCCCAAGCCTAAAAAGGCTCCTGCAAAGAAGGGAGAGAAGGTGCCCAATGGGAAAACTGGAAAAGCTGATGTTGACAAGGATGGGAATAATCTTGCAGACCAGGCACTGAAAGCTGACGGTGCTGGAGATGCCAAGGGAAGTCTGTGTTTTTGATAACTGTGCACTTCTGCTGCCTGAACAGTTTGACATACTATTTTTTTTATCAAGTTCTATAGAAATGCAGAATGTTGTTTTAGTTCTTTATAAAAGCAATGTTGTTAGCACACAGAACATTTCATTTTGGGGGAGGGTGTGGAAGAAACATGTGTCACTAACAAAAGTCTCCCAAGCTGAATTAATGTGGGGAAAACAGTTTCCCCTACTAGTTTTAAAAGACTCCTTTATACTCCTGGGAGGGGATTTCCTGATGTCAATACACATAGTCACCTTGGCACAAAATGCCTTGTACTATGGGAAAATTCAAAATTAACTTTTATAGCCCCCTGTTCCTCTGCCTTCAAATCAACATAGACAACTCCCTTAAAACCTGTTGAGGTCTGATCCCCCTAAAATTGGTTTTACTAGAATGTTGGGAAATCTGCACTTTGCAGTGATGTCACTGGGATGGTTCTTTAGAAGAGCAATGGTTCCTTTTCTAAAACATTGTAGACCTTCAGATCAATAATTCTGCCATGACTATTTCATTTCCTGAAAGTCAGGGTCAACTTATGAAAAGTTGTTAAACAACATGCTTAATGTTAAATGTCAACCCTCATTCTAAACTTGCCCCATTTGAAGCACAAAATGAAGATTTCATTGGATTTTATAGAGGCTTTATGATTTTGAGGGCCCATACAAGAAGAGAATTTGAAAGTTTGAGTGTACTGTTATTGATTGTCTGTGCATGTCTTGCCTGAAAATACCATGACCATTTATGAAAAGCATCTCTAACAAAGCTGGAAACAATTTGGCTTGGAAAATTTCAAAAAGTTAAACAAATGAAGAAAAATGGGGAACTATTACAAAAGTGGTAACAGCTCATGCAAAGCTCTTATACCTTGGAGAGGTCAGAAGCTGTGGGCTGAAGCTCACAAGACAAGGAAGAGATTTAGCACAAACTGACGCCAGCCAGGTAGGTAGGAGATCAAGTATGCATGGGCCTTATTGAGCAACATTTTATTTCCTTCCTTTTTAAAATTTTAAAATTTTATGTGTATGAGTGTTTTGCCTGGATGTATGGAAGTGCACTCATTTTCTGCCATGAGAGGCCAGAAGAGGGTGTCAGAGTCCCTGGAACTGGAGTTACAGACAGCTGTTAGTTACCATGTGGTTGCTGGGATCTGAAACCCTGTTCTCTATGAGAGCAGCAAGTCCTCTTAACTGCTGAGCCATGTCTCCAGTCCCCATAGACAACATTTTCTTCTTAACCTATGAGTAATGGAAAAGCACTAAGAAGATGTGTGTGTGTGTGTGTGTGTGTGTGTTTGTGTGTGTGTGTGTACAATTGTGTATGTGAGACACAAACAATTTTATGTTTCCAAAAGATCATCCTGGTTGCATCTGAGACAGATTTGAAGGCACCCAAGAGTAGTGGCAGAGACTTAGGTTAAGAGATTAGAGTGATTGGGGCTGGAGAGATGGCTCAGTGGTTAAGACCACTGACTGTTTTTGCAGAGGACCCGGGTTCAATTCCCAGCACCCACATGATGGCTAACAACTGTCCATAACACCAGCTCCAGGGGATCTGATGCCCTCTTCTGACCTCAGCGGGCATTGCACAATACAGGTGCACTTACACACATGTAGGCAATGCACTCATACACATAAAATAAAAATAATAAAATATTTTAAAAATATGTTAGAGTGGCAAGTCATGGTGGTAAGTGATGGAAATAGAAAGACATTAATGGGCTAAAGTGATATTTACTAGGTGTGATCCATAGGACAAGATCATGGAGTGGTTATAGCAAGGGGGGGCGGAGAATGGAGGAGACAGATGGAGAAGGTTTGGAATGAAATAATCGAATGGACAATGGTATCATTCAGTGAAGGAATACTAGAAAAACACCCAGTATGGAGAGAAGATAATGAATTGAGTTAGGGCATGTTCAGTTTGAGGTATTAGTGTGCTATGTAAGAGATGATGCTAAGTAAGGGATTGGTTCTGAAAATGTAGACCTCAGAATAGTGATCTGGTCTAGAGCGAGCATTCTGAGATTCATTTGTGGGGAGATGTAAATTGAAAGTGTTGGTTGGGGAGAAACTTTAAATTGAGAAGAGAAGAGGGACTGGGACGATGTTTTGGTTAGTCAGAAGCGGATAAGTCTGCAAAGGAGGTAGAGGAGTGTGGGCATCTGGTGTAAACAACCTTTCTCTAATGAATTTTGAGTGTGAATGCGAGGGGAGAGGTGGGTAAAGGGCTATAAAGTTTTAATTTTTTATTGTAAGATAGTAGAAGTTTTAAATCAGAAGAGAAAGGCTCATTAGGGAAAGGAGAGACAAAGTTTCTGAAATAGCAGATGACAGAACCTGAATTACAGTTGAACTTCTAGCTGATTATCTCAATTACTTTTTCCTTTGAAGTAGGAAGCATGATTATCTGATAAACATGTGGAGGTGATGTTTGAGAATGGGGCATGTTTGAAAGGGTTATTGTAGACTAGAAGCATAAAGAGAGTAGAAAAAAGTAGTAGGAGGCTGGGCAGTACAGAAGGCTCATTTGCAGCTGGTGATCATGAGTACACACAAGCAGAAGCTTATTTGTGTGTGACTGTGTCCAGCAATGCATCATTGATCAAGTTCAGGTATGGAGGAGATGGATAGGTGATGAACCTCGAATTCCCAGTATGAATTTGAGCAGGTCATGTGAACTTTCTAACATCCCATCTTTTCATCTTTAAGATAATCATAATTGTAACATTTCTCACAAAAGTTGTTTGGTGGATTAAATAAGATAGCATGCAAAATAGTACTTGGTTTGGGAGAAATGTTCACCATATGAAAGCAGTTGTGTTCCTTTCTCTTCAGATCCTAGTCTGTATTCTTTATTACCAGCACTCAACATGTACTGCACTTCTAGCTGGACTGACTTTTTTCTGTATCCATATTCATTGTGATATTTTTGCTTTCTCCACTCAATCCCCATCTCTGCTCATCAAAGAGAAATCTTCATTATCTTGGGGCTGGTTTTGCTTTTTCATGGCACTGATTTTCCATTGTAGTTTAAACACACCTGAAATTTTACATATTCAAGTATTTGTTGTATTTTAAGCTTTATTATTAGCTTATTTTTCATTTAAATATTATTTTATCTTTTCTTTAAAAAATGTCAAGCTAGGTGTGTTAAAACATGCCTGTAAGCCCAGTGGGAAGCTATGCTGTGAGGATCCCGAGTTTGAGGCTAGCCTATGTTACATAGTGAGCTCTAGGCCTGGATTAAATCATGAGACCCTGTCTCAAAAAAGCAAAGCAAATCAAAACAGACGACAAGAAAATATTTCAGTAACATAGAACTTTTACAATGAGAGTATGAGTTCTTTAAGGGAAGAAACCATATTGTAAATCTTTCTATTTCTCAAAGAACTTCTTGACATAAATGGTCAAGGTTTAAGACTTTTTAGTCTTGAGGTTCCAGATAAAAACATCTTCAATTTACAGTGTTCAAATGAGTAATAGATATTTGACCAAGCCAGCTGGCCACAGAAGTGCTCATGAATTACAGGAACCAGGAATGCAAAGCAGGAAGATTAGGAATTGAGGTGAGCCTGGTCTATGTAGCAAGAACCTGCCTCGAAAACAAAAGAAAGAAAGAAAGAGACATAGAGAGAGAAATTTTACCAAATTAAAGTCAAATAAACTATTTCTTAAACATTTACTATGTACCAGGCACCAAAGTAGATGTTTTATATACATTAACTCATTTGTCTCACAAAAGCTTTCTAAGGTAGGTGTTATAATCCCTACATCACAGGGCAAAGTACTGAAGCACAGACAGGTAGTTTAAGGTTTTAGTAAAACAAGTTGTGTAGTCAGATTTTAAAACGGATTCTGTGTGAATCAAAAGCTGTTTCTGAGAAAAATTTTAACTTTGCAGTTCAGTTTCTTTAATGGCCATGAACTAATCAAGCTATTGATTTCTTCTTACATGAGTTTTGATAGGTATGTTTTTCAAGGGTTTGATCCCTTTCCCAATGTGAATCACCTCAATCAGTGTACAGTTTTGTTTTGTTTTTTGAAGTGCCCATATCTTTTATGAAGATACTGTGTAATGGAGGTCTTCCTACTAGTTATTTACCAAGGGTATTATGAAAATTAGATAGGGATTTACAAAGTAGAAAATCATCTTAAGAAAAATTAAGTAATCAAATGACATGATTATATCTGATACTTAGCTCTCTTAAAATGAAAAGAAATTATAGAGCTCTTTCTTTAAAAATTGTCTCTAATTTCTAAGACTGAACCCTAAGTAACACATGCTTTCTGATTTTTCAGTTGTTTCTGAAAATATGACAATTCAAGAAACAAGTACAACTGTTTCACAGCAAATAGACTTAACAACTCCTTCTCACATTGCTGGGCTAAACCCACAAAAGACTGTACATTCATCCACAACGATGCCTAAAAGCACACCTGTATTTGCAGCCAATCATACAACCATATGGTATTCTAATACAATGTCTTCACCTCTAGCAACAATGAGTGCATCAAAATATTTAAAGACATCTATAGCTGAAACAGCTACGTTTGCAGCAGATGGCTTATTTACTTCAGCAACCATCCCTCTGCCTACCCACAGTACACCCATCCGTACTACTAATGTGTCCATGAAAACAACTCAGCACCCATATTCAAAAAAAACAAGGACATCAAAAATGGTGGAGACAGTGGCTACTGAGACCTTTCACCCGACTACAGCTACTAATTTCTTTGCCACATCTGGAATTACCAAGAATTCCATTGTATCTGAAACTTTAGCAATTAAATCCCAGCCAACTGTTATGAAGATAGCTCCATTTTCAGTGAATGATTCCACATCCGTGTCTACAACATCTTGCCACAAACACAAGTCCCCAGATGTTGCAGGACTCCCTACCTCTAAATCTAAACAAGAATCCCTTGTATCCTCAACTGCCAGAACTGTGTCTGGGTCCACAGTAGAAGAAATTTTGGCTTTAACTACTGACATTGGAACTATGCCAGCCTTCCCACCCCAGCCTCTGCTTATACCCACAGTGACTCCTGTGGATTCTGTACTTCCTGAAAATCAGATGGCATCTTCTTTGCCAACAACTGATAAGAAAATGGTTTTTACAGTTCATTCAGTGTTGCCTGTGGAGACCACACCTGCCCCAAGAACAGTGAAAACAGAATTAGTGCACACGGATTTTCAGGATGTCTCTTCACTCAGCATGGACAATGCTATATTTACCTCTATGCCAAAAGAGACCTCTTCTATGGCACTTTATTCTATGACATCCTCTCCCATCGCTGGAACTCAGAGTAAACAGACAGTTATTGATATTGAGAGTACTCATCCAGCCTTAACTCCTGGAATCACACTTCATCCTACACTGGCTGAAGATTCACTCTTCCCCACAATTGAAGGGCTAGAATATACCCAGAATACACCCACGGCAGATGAACCTATGCTTACTTTGATTTCCACTAAATCACCTTCCACATCCAAGGCATCTGAATCAGGTCCCACATCTTTAACTGATGAAACTGCCTATCAATTATCTACCAATGACACCACTTGGACTTCTAGGCCAGATCAAACTCTGTTGACCTCTATGAATACAACCACCTTTCTTACATTCATGCCTAATGAAAATCTTACATCAGTACATCAAGGCAATGCTACTAATGTGGATCATATGTTCATGACTACTAACACCACTCCACTTGAAACATTCACAAAGCGTAAGGCTACTATTAGCTCTGATGGTTCTACAGCTAGGTATACAGAAGCTCTATTCAGATCAACATCTCTGCTGTTTGGTAATTTCTCCAGTGTTTCTGAAATCCCATCTATAACCAATCAGCCTGAGTTTGAACTCACTACCTTACTACTGAAAAGCATCCCTATGTCCACAGTAGCTGCAAATGTACTTCCCACAGTACCAAGGGAGACATTTGTTCCATCAGTAGATATATCTACCCTTGCTGATGTTACACGTAATTTTTCTACTCAGGAGAGTAGTTCTGAGACAACACAAACAGAAACAAATGGTACAAGCACATTTGGTGATACAATGGCCCCTCTATCAAAGTCTGTAACAACACAGCTATCCTATACCACTGTGATGAGAAAAGAAACCACTTCCGATCATCCTAAGGGAAAATCAACTATAGCAGCAGTAACTGGGGTTTCTCCATTTTCAGCAATGCTGGAAGCAACAAATGAATCAGCACAAATGGTGACAGCTTCTATCACTGTTTCCCCTTTTCCTGATATAGAAAAATCGGCTACTGCATTGAATAATAAAACTGCAACTACTGGGGTTGGAATGAATTGGCTTTCAACAAAATTGACAAAAACTACACCTAAAAGTTCATACAATGGAACTACGGAAATCTTTAAATCAACTCATTGGCACTCAGAGACATCTGAGGGGACTTTAGTTTCATTGTCCACATCTGTGAGCACAGAGACATTCCCTGAACAGAGTGCTTCAGGCACAAGAATATGGGGAGCCACTTTCTCTATGACCCCTACACAGAAGACAGCTATGTCTTTGTCTACTGGTGTCTTGCCTCCAAAGACTGCAGCTATTCATTCCTCAACAACACCTCAACCTATTACCTATATGTCTTCACTGCCAGTTAATGTCTCTGTTGCTACCTATCCTGTTACTTATATGGTGGTTTCTGATGAGACTAAGGTGACCCTGCCTCAGTCTTCTACATTGGCCAGGGATTTCTCCCCATCTGTGTCCTCAGGTATTCCAACTCTACCAGCAGCTACAATGCCCATGGCATTGGTGCTACCACTGAGTCCAACACCTTCCACAACCAGTACTACCATGTCTACCCACAGAGGCCTGTTTCATACCATTTCAGAGGTCCCAGTGACCTCTTCTACAAAAGCACTCAGGGAAGTTCCTTCTGTGAGAGAAACTCTGGCCTCCTCACCGAGAACTGCCTCCCCTATGATAACTAAGACTATAACTACCTTTCCCTCCACTTCAACAGACATAGTAAGTCCATTTGTTCACACTCTTGTCTGCTCAAAACCTCCCCCTGACAAGGTTACTATTGTGTCCTCCACTCATGTTAGCCCAACTACATCTACACTAGTAGCAACTCCATCTACATCTCAAGTGGAGACTTCAACTCATGTTTTGACCTTTCCCTATACTTTCAGTAGAGGTAGAGATGTTAGCATGGTTACTTACCCTACAGAGACTTCTGCTGACAGTGAGACATTGCCCCCAAACACTTCTGCCAACAAGTTTACTACGCCACTAAACACTCACATTTCTCAGTCTTCTACGTATTTTGTAAATACATCAGTTACCAACCAATTGGTGACTGACACTTCTGTCTTACCTCCTGAGAAAGAACAGATGAACACCTCCATAGGGAAAACCTCTATAACTACAAGCAGGACAGAAATCTCACCAAAGAATTCTTTAATTTCTTCCTCCCAAAGTACTTCACTTTTGGAAATTACAGATACAGAATTTTCTGAAACCACAGAAATTTCTAGTCACCAAACCTATTTGCCTTCAGAGACTCCCCCTGGGAATGCACCTTCTGGGAATTTAGCTGCTTCTCCCATAGGAAGGACACAGACTACACAATCCTTGACCTCAAGTAGCATACAAGGTATTCATACTTCAGAAATTTTTATCAGTCTTGAGAAAACAGCAGTCCCTTCACAAGTTCAGACAATAACCACATTTTTATCTCCCGATAAAGAAAACGCAAGTGCAATTTCAGAATCTACTCCCTGGACTGTGGGAATGATAGCGAGTTCCTCCTTTGTGACTAATCCAGTCTCAAGTCACCAGGACACATCTTCTATAGATACCACAACTTCCAGGACAACTAGACCATCACATCCTGTGCTCATTAAGACAACTCTTTCACACTTGCTTTCACTTAAGTGTCAACCCAAGGCAACTTGGGTTGCTTCTTCCACTTCTGAAAGCACACAGGCATTCACAAATGGACCACTCAATGCCAATTTTACAATGATCTCTCCTGATGGGATCACTACAGCCTTTTCTCTTTCAAAAGTACCTACAACATTCCCTATGGAAACATCAATTCCTCTTTATCAGATATCTTCATTGCCAGTTAATGTCACTGCTTTCACCTCCAAAAAGGTTTCTGACATCCTCACCACACCAATGAGGAAGTCTTCTGAAACTATACACCCAGATTGTTCAAAAAATGTCTCTATAGGTACTTCTGGGCCTATGCCTGAGAAGTTCTCAATGCCAGAAAATAACTCTCATTCCTCAAATATAGCAGTTTCTTCTGACACTTCCACAAGAATTGGGTTGCTCTCTACTTTATTGTCTTCAACTACCCCCAAGACTACTAAAACTGCACAAACATCATCAGATATCACACCTGTGGCATATCCTGGGCCTACTTCACAAAGCATGATAATTTCCTCTGCTTTCACTAATTCCGAAGAGGTAGAGGAGTCCTCCAAGATTACAACCATACCTATTTCTTCTCCAACAGAGTCAGCTTTTCCAACCACTATTACAGAAGGTACTGTGATTTCAGTTACAGACACATCTGCCTCTTCTCTGCTTAGTTCTAAAAACACTGAAGCTATTTCTTCCATTCCAATGACCGTGCTTTCATCATTACTTTTACCAAACCAGCAATCATCACAAGAAGGTGAAGCTATAACTCTGGGCATATTACCTGGGATTACCAACAGCGCCCTATCCACTGAGAGCACTGATAGAAGGACAGAGCTCGTAAACACTTATTCTAGAACTACCATCCCTGAAATTGTGCTTTCAACTATTCCTTCAGATAGCCTTCATGCTTCCTCGGATATTCGGGTTTCTCCATCTAATTTTATGGACACTCCTAGACCTATAAAAAGTGTAAAATCCACCACAACACACCTTTCATTTAATACAAGAAAGACGACTTCCTTGCCAGACAATATTTTGTTGACAAGTGAACTAACTAAAAAGAGTACATCTGTGACTACACCTGTTTTGTACCCTTTATGGACCCCAAACAGTGCAACTCAACCGTCTTTCACATCACGTTTTTATTTACCTCACAGTAGTGAGGCCAAATTCTCTACTCCTAAGATCTCTACTCCTCGTACATCTCAAATGGTTGAATTTCCAGTATGGGGAACAAGAATCACACCTAATATTAGCCAGTCTCTGCTTATACCTTCCTGGAACACACCAAAAGTTGGAGATTCTCAATTTCCAACTTACACTACTACTCATGTAATGACATCCAACAAAATGGTAGCAGAGACCCTGAACTCTACTTCTGAGTCTTTGTCAATAGCCACAACCAATCAGACTAGTATGGTCTCTAAAGATATTGCAGCAATGTCATTAATTTCCACTTCAGAAATTCTTCCTACATTTGGACTTTCTGAGAACACTTCATTATCAATATCTTCAGGAGTCTTCACTACCACTTCGGCTGACGTTGAGCGCACATTTGAGAAAACAGCCACATCTATAACCCCTGGGACCATATTCTCATCAAATCCTATAATTTCCAATGCTACTTCACCTTTTCTGCCTTGGATCGTATCTAGTCTCCCTTCTGGCTCTCTTGCAACTTTATCTAATCCTCCTCGTGTTCTAACTTCATCTTCAAGGGAAATGGTAGAATCCACTTTTCCAGCTTCTGACCTAACACCAACATACCCGTTTGCTAACTTTACATTACCCTTTGCTAGTGGAAGCACCATACTCACCAATATCGTTCCTGTACCTACACTGGGCATCATTACTTCTGGCTCCCTGAATTCTCTCCCTATATTTACAAAAACGACAGATGACAGTGTACCCATATCCATGTCCCTTGAAGCATCCCCCAGAACTACTGTGACTGACAACTCCAGGACTGTTTCTGAACCTATGTCCTTTAGCATAAAGAGTCTATCACCTTCTATAACTGGCCGCACCCTATCTATTGGTTCTCTGTCTCTATCTAGCCCTACAAAAACATCTGCATGGAGCACAGTTCCAGCTACATCAGCATCCCCTACTTTAATTCCTCCTAAACTCACACTGGATTCCCTTATAAATGTAGCCATTACCACACCCACTTCTACAGGATCCTCATTTCCACTGATGTCTGCTGCAATGACACATCCTTCTACAACTGTGTCTTCACTAATCTCTACATCTTTTGAGACCACATGGATGAACTCCACAACTTCTTTTATATTTGCACAAGAGTCAGCTTCATCAGTCACATCACAGTCTGCAGGTATTGTTCCTTTGTGTGTGTATCCTTCAGACAGTTGGTACATGATTAGTTTGTCTGAGCATAGAATTCTGAAGTCATGTTCCTCGTTTTTACTGAAGTATAATGAAAATGTAGCTTTTCACTTGGTATGACATTTCAAAAGCATCCCTTACTCTTGTTCTTGATGTCCTGATTCTGCCCATGTAAACACAGAATGGGAACCTCACCTTTACCCAGTAAAATGTGGCCATAAGTTTGCTTATGTTTACCACAGGACAGGAAACACTGGAAGATACCCTATCTTGCCTTTTGAATCCCTACTCTGCAGGTTTGAGCCCTCTCTAATCCTTATGTCCAGCTAATTAGGAATGCTTATCCATAGCTCGGGAGTATTTGACTTCTACACTGTTCAAATTTTGAATAGTTCTGTATCCTTTTTAAAAATTTATCTATCAATTTATATTTATTGACGTATTTATTTTGGTATATGTATGTGTGAGGACGTGTGCATGCCATGGTACACTTGTGGAGGTCAGAGGACAACTTGTAAAAGTTAGTTCTCTCCTTCCACCACAGGAGTCCTGGGAATCAAACTTAGATTATCAGGCTTGGCCGTGAATGATTTTGTCTGCTGAGCCATTTCACTGGTTTGGGCCTGCAGCTTTTTTAAAAAATATTTTATTTATTAATTAATTTTTTTTACATATTGAGTGTATTGCCTGCATGTAGGTAGGTGTACCCATGTCGTGCAATGCCCATGGAGGTCAAAAGAGGGCATCAGATCCTCTGGAACTTGCGTTATGAATGGTTGTTAGCTGCCATGTGGGTGTTGGGAACTCATCTCTTCTGCAAGAGCAGCCAGTGCTCTTATCCCTTGAACCTCCCATCCAACCCCAGGGTCTGCAGCTTTTAACATTTTGAAATGAAAACTATGGCAGGACAAATAAGATCAAGGTGGACATAAAGAGAGAAAATTCTGAAGCAGAAAGGAAGGCACAGGAGAGAAACAATTATTTTCTCAGGACAAATAATCTTGTGGCATAGCAGTCAATGTACTTTTTAAAAAATAAATAAAGGACTTTAATAGACATTTATCTCCCAAATATATTTATATAGTCTCTTCCTTGGCAATTTTATGTATATCCATACACACACATATTTAAATTGAATTTTTATTTATTTCATGCAGAACATCTCAAACAATCTTAATCATCTTTATATCTCCATCCCCACTGGCACCCTCCCACAGCTCCCCCCACCAGAGCCCATATACTCTGTCATTCCTGTTAAGGCTCACTGGGTTGTGAGTGTTCCTAGACATTCACCAATGCAAGTCTGTCCGCTGAGTCTAGTCAGCCTAGAGTCCCTTGTTTTAGGAAGATCAGCTCTTCTTCATCTAGCAGCAATCAGTTGCCAACATTCCTTCAGCTAAGACTGAGGTCTGCTGTTCATTTTCCCAGTTTGATACTGGGTTATTGTCTGCCTGAGTTTGCATGGGACTTGTGTATGCTGACACCACTGCTTGTAGGACTCTTTCCATATGGTCATGCTCCTCCTCCCTGGCTCTTACAATTTTTCTGCCTCCTCTTCTGTGATGGTCCCTCAGCCTTGGGTGGGTGAACTTTAATAAAGCGGTCCTGTCCAATGACCATCATTCAGCAGACTCTTGATCTCTACACTTTGTTCATTTGTGACCTTTTGTGTTCCTTCCTGGCCTTCTGCTGCATGAGGGAGCTTCATTATAGAGAACTGAGGAATTCATTAGTATCCTCTTCATTAACCCTGTTGTATGTTCCATGAGGCTTAGGTGCAGAGGTTTCAATGTACTTTTTGAATGGACTGGAAATTACTTGGCCAATGAAAATAGAGAATTTAGGGGATTTGCCACATGTCTATCAGCTGTGTAGAAATCAGGGAATTGGACACATAATTAAAGCAAAAATGAAAGGACAGCATCTTTCACATTTTGCTTTTGTATATATGTACCCCAAATTGCCAGTTCTTAATGCTCGAGTGAAACTAAACAAAATTGAGGAATAGAAATCATTGTTTTGCTTGATTTACAAAAACAGAGAGCACTTCTGATCCAATTTTTGGAAGTCAAATTTCTTGATGTAAATAACTAAAATTAAACTCTTTATTTTTAATTACAGTTTCCTTCTACAGTATCGCAATGAACTTCTCTGTCTTTGATGAAGAGCCAAGGGTCCTTATTACCAGTGTTATAAATGAATTTGCAAACAAATGGGTAAAGTTCTGTTTTGAATATTTATGGTATATATAGATGCATGTTGACAAAGACTGAAGATTGAAAGTAGACTCCCTTTTCCTACTGATAATCCATTTCACAGTTAATCAGTTTAGAGTTTTTTTTTTCATGGAAAATGCATTTACTCTGTAAGCAACACTCTGAAGATCTATGCAATCTCTCTTTCATAGTACCAGTGTTTAAAAGCTTTTACGGGTTGTTATTATTTTTGTTTGTTGAGATCTGTACATTTCCCTCTACTGACACAATTTCTGAGTCACTGTCAAAATTTCCTACTTGGGGAAAATAGAGCAGTGATAAGAAAGTCTGTGTCATAGCATTTGAATATCTTTGTTTTCTGTACTTTGTTTGCTCTGTTTCTAACACAGTGAATATTTACTTGTCCTTACATTTTGGAGATACATAAAGCTTAAACTAAGACATAATTTCCGTAAAGGAGGTTCACATAATGACATCTAAAGCAGAGTATCTGTCCTCTGCTACTGCTCTTTCTATTAACTAATTTTAATAATTTGAGGTATATTCTGTGAGATTTTTCTGTACATTGATGCATGTGTGTTCTTTCACAAAAATAAATGCTATCATATGAATTATGCTATTCTTTAACTTGTTCCCTGGACAGTGGCCCATGTACCTTTTTTTTAATTCTGGGGAACATTTTAATTAATTAATTAATTAATTAATTTAATTTTACTTCTGGGAACAGCAGACATTTTGCTGCTGAGCAACACCACCTTTGAGCATCTTTGAGCCTATTTGTGATAATAAATATAGATCTACCTACCTCATACACTTTAACAGATGAACAAGATTTAGTACAATCTTATGATTGTAACATAGAAAATTTCATTTTGTTTTTTAATCTAAATATCTATTGGTAGGCATTTAGGTTGCTTTTATTTACCTCTGTTCTTACACAATTCTGAAAATAATTAATTTAGGGGACCTTGAATATTTTTTTAGAATTAAATTTTTCTTTGTTTTTTTGTGTATTTCATATGGAAAATCTCAATCTTAATTATCTTTATACCCCCATCCCCAATGGCACCCTCCTATACTGTCCCCCTCACTGAAGCCCATATACTCTGTCATCCCTGTTATTGCCCACTGTGTTGTCAGTGCCCCCAGGCATTCCCCAGTGCAAGGCCATCCTCTGAGTCTAGTCAGTCTAGAGTCCCTTGTTTTAGGAAGATAAGGTCTTCTTCATCTAGTAGCGATTAGTTGCCAACATTCCTTTAGATAAGATTGAGGTCTTCTGTTCATTATCCCAGTTTTATGTTGGGTTACTGTCTGCCTGTGTTTGCATGGGACTTGCGTATGCTGGCATCTATGCCATAGAATCATGTGAGCAGGTTCCCAGGAGCTTGTAGGACTCTGTCCCTATGCCTTGTGTGGGTGAAGTTTAGTAAAGGGGTCTTGTCCAAGGACCATTATTTAGCAAATTCTTGATCTCTACATTTTGGCCATTTATGACCTTCTGTGTTCTTGGCCCTCCACTGCATGAGGAGCTTCATTATTGAGAACTGATTCCTCAGTGTCCTCTTCTTTATCCCTGTGCTATGTTCCATGAGCCTTAGGTGTAGAGGTTGCCCTGCAGATGTGTCCTTTAGGCCTGGGCAATTCATAGGCAATGTCCGTGTGTGACCAGTTGTGGGACTTGATATTAGTCTCTGACTGCTGCAAAATGAGCTTCTTTGATGAGTGGTGACTGGGATATTTGTAAATATGAGGATACATATTTAGCAAATAGTAAGAAATCACATTAGTCTAGCAATGTGAGAGTTTGAGGGTTTTCTGTGTGTTAGGTTATGTTTATATTACCACACTTGAGTTTCCTGCCTTTGAGTGGGCTTTTAGTCAAATTAGGTAGCTGTTGATTGCCCCCAAGACAAAAGTGCCACTACTGCACCAATGACCTATGCTGTGCTGGCCATTGATGTGGTTATTTGGTCTTAAAGCTGGTGCTGGATCATCTGTTGATGTTTTCCCTTGGCACTTTCATAGCATTCTCCAAAGCTATGAGAGTTACCCTTCAGGGAAATTGGCTTCCAGGTCAGTTGCAGCTCTATTTCTCCAAACCCTGTGTCTGATGTATGTTGTGTCTTCAGCAGTAAGCTCTTACCTTCAAGTTCTGGTAGGCCATCAAGGGCTGTGGCAACAGTCTGAGTAATTTTGGGAGTCTCTTGGACCACCCTGACCAACAACTCAAAGGAAGATATCTTCTGTCTGGCACTGTTTCTTGTTAAGTAGCCTTTAGCTATAAACATGGACTCATGTAGAGATAGTGTATGTATAATTTGTCAGTAGGTTATTGGACTAATATGGTTCCCTCTGGTTTTTTAAAACTAGCTAGGCATTATTTTTGTCTCTGTCTAACCCTTCCACCATGATTTCCCCATTTAAAGTTAGGGGACCTTGAATACTTTTATAAGATAAATCTATGAATTTGGAATTGCTGGATCAAAGGGAGGAACATTTTATATTTTAAAAGTTATCATTAAATGCCCTCCAGATAAGTAATAATACCAATATGTGCCTTATACCTAACAGTGAATGATCAAATTGGTTTCCCTTCTCTCCATTAGTGCTCATGTTCAAGCATGTATGACCCAGTTCTAAGTGCTTGAAAATAAGTGTCTCACAGTGTTCAGGCTGCCTTACAAACATACACAGGCATTTGCAAGCCTAAGTGGCACATCTATGATACAACCTCTACACCTAAGCCTCACGGGACAGAGAACAAGGGGTAAAGAGGACACTAATAAATATCTCAGTTCTCATTAATGAAGTTCCCACAGAGGGCCAGGAACACAAATGATTACAAAAGTCCAAAGTGTAAAGAATAAGAGTCTGCAGAATGCTTGTCCTTGGACAGGACTCTTATATTAAACTTCACCCACCCAGGGACCAGGGGTCATTGTGGAAGAGGGGGCAGAAAGATTGTTAGAGTCAGGGAGGAGGTGCATGACCATATGGAAATAGAGTCTTACAGGCTCCTGGGACCCTGCTCATATGAACCTACAGCAATAGTGTCATCATGCATAAGGCCCATGCAAACTCAAGCAGACAAAAACCCAGCATACAAACTCAGGAAATGGACAGCAGACCACAATCTTAGCTGAAGAAATATTGGCAACTTATTACTGTTGGGTGAGGAAGAGCTGATCTTCCTAAAGTGAAAGAAGACTCTCGATAGGCTGACTAGACCTCAGTAGACGAACTTGCACTGAGGAATGTCTGGGGACACTAACTTGACACAATAGGCCTTAACACAAATGGCAAAATTGTGAATTCCAAGGCGGGGCCTATGGGAGGGTGCCAGTGGGGAAGGGGGTATAAATATGATTAAGATTGATTGAGATGTTCTGTATGAAATACACAAAAATTCAATACAAAATTTAAAAAAAGTGAGGTGGAGATTGATAGAGCAATACTCTGGTCTGCACATATGTGTATGTACCTGCACACAACAGCATGTATACACATGTACCACACACACACACACACACACACACACACAAAGAGTGGGCCAAACAAGTTCTGTGATTGCCATTTGCTATCTGTGTATCCTGGTGCCTTGTGAGCACACTTCCATTTCCTTACCTGTAAATGGAGTGATTAATCAGAGAGGTTCCCTCATAGGATCAGTGGGTGAATTAGTGTCTATGTAAAGCCCTGAATACTCACCACCACCATCACTGTTTTTTTTTTTTTTAACGTTTTAGAGTTTTATGTAGTCTAGACAAGTAATTTCATCGGCTGATTGAGTGGAAGCATAGATAAATGAGATGGTACTAGGCTAAGTTAAGATTCCTAGGATTCTAAGTATTTTATTCTATTAAGTAGCTTAAATATGGTCATTTTATTGGGCAGTGTGGTGGGATTCTCAGTAATAAGAATTTGCTGGTGTGAGAAACTCATCTCAGTAAAACTTCCCCTTCCCCTAAATGAGACTCAGATACTGTCATTCTGTATTCAAAATGTTCAGCCCTAAATAGGACATCCTTATCACCCCCTCCAAGGTTCAGGGAAAAATCACAGATGAGGGGACAGATAGAATATAAGAGGCAGGGGAAGGGGTGAAGTGTTGGGGAACTCTTTACCAGAGATGACATGGTGTTGCACTCATGAACTCAGAGTAGCTGTCATTACCTGCACAAGATCTGTATAAGATTGGGCCTGTGAACATACTGCCACGTGGGGGTGGGGAGGACTCATGCTCATGATGTCCCACCTCTCCCCAAAGATTTATGGAAAGTTAAGGGTTGCTAGAGGAGGAAATGATATTTTCTTCAGTGGTGTAGCCACTGGTAATTTATTCATGCCCCTGTAAATAACCCCTCATCCATGTCCCTGTCAGTAATCACAGATAAACTCACAGGTTACAAAAGAAGGAAAAGAAGAAAAAAATGCATGAATGTAGAAGGCAGACCAGTTGGACAGAGGAAGGAGAACAGCAGGAACAGGAGGGGAACAAGAGCGGGTAATGGGGGGAATAAGAGCGAAATACGTTATATACAAGTATGAAAATAACATAATGAAATCTATTGTTATATGTTATATATGCTAATGAAATATTTTCTTAAGCTACAAACAAAACAAAACAAAACAAAAAACCCAACCAAACACAAAAAACAACCAAAAGGGCATTTGTTTTTTTCACAGTTCCTGGTGAGGGTGCGGGGCAGAGGGTATGGAAGTGGTAGAAGTTTGAGATAAAGGTGCTGGTAGTGCTAGTTTTTTGGGTAAGATTTCTCTCCTTGCCTTCTTTTGTTTTTAAAGATTTATTTATTTATATGGTGGATTTTGTTGTTCTGGATGTTTTGTCTTTTTTGAGACAGAGTCTCCCTTATAGCCCCAGCTGACCTGGAGATGGCCTAGCCTCAGTCTCATAGAGAAAAGCCTGCCTGTGCCTCCAGAGTGCTCAGATTAAAGGCCTGGGCCACCACATCTGTCTCCTTGTGTTCCTGTTGTACCTCCATATAGCATTGCCTCTGTGTTCATGTATCTCTGGTCTCTCTTTGTCATTTTGCAAGGATAGCAGTTCTTGTTGGAGTAGGGCTCCACCCTTATGATCTCGTTTAACTGTGATCACCTCTCTAATGACCTTATGTCCAAATATAATCAGTTTGGAGGTTAAGGTTTCCATATGTGAACTTGAGTTGGAAAGCAGCTTAGCCCATAATGGTGTGTAAAATGTCAACAGGAAAGCTGGTGCAGATGGAAAGGTTGAGCCTAATTGCAGCTCTTATTGCAGACCACATTGTATCAGGTGACTTTGCTGGGTTAAAATAGAGGAGTGGGAATGCAAATACTTACTCTGACTTTCTTTTCTTGTGTTTTACAGTTGAATTCTATATTTCAAAACTGTGAATTTTCTCTTGCTAATATGGCTATTCAAATTAAAAGCAGGTATGTAAATAACACCTTCTGTGGATTGAAAGGCAATTTAGGATATTCTGGGTCTGTGAGTTTCCTTTTTTATCTCTGAAATTTAGGGGTGAATACACTTGCAGTTATGTCTTCCCTTCTTGATATTAGATTTCTGGAATGAAGAAGGCATTTCTCTCACTTAGGTTGTAAAACCAATGGAAAAAGAAAACAAAAACAAACAAACAAAAAACACGTAGAGGAAACTGTGAACGCACATTCATTTTATAACAACCCACTCTCAAGGCAACTAAACCAACTGTAGCAGAGTGGAAAGTCAAATGAGAAAGGTATTGGCCAAATTACTCAGACACCTCTCATTAGACCCCCACCACCTAACACTGCTTCATGTGGCTGCTCAACATGTGACTGCTTACTTTCTGTGTGCTGGGACTTTGGTTTCTCTTACATGTTCAAATAAAAATAGGGTCAAGAAGGTTCACAGATGCAAATGGAAGTAAACCCATCAGAGGTCATTGTCATAGTTTGGGCTACTATACAAAAATTGTTACAGATTTGTTGGCTTTAGCCGTAGAAAATTATTTCCTCACAGTTCTGGAAAATATGAAGTATGTGGTCCTGATGAAGAAACCTTGTTCTCTTCACATGACAGGGAACACAGAGTGGAAGCATTTCCATCTCTACTTACAATGTTTACTAATCCTGTTCATAAGGGTTCCACCCTCGTTACATAATTACCCCACAATGGCCTCATTTTGTAATGCCATAAAATATTAGACTTCAATATATGAATTTTGGGAGGACACAAACATTCAGTCCAAAATAATTAAAAGAAAATAGGAGATATTTGCATTATCCAATATTATTTTAAAAGCCATCTGTTGTTTTTTGTCATTGAGAAAGTAGTATGTAGCCATGTGAAATATTTACAGAGATCTATGGCACGGATAGTTGAAAAATCTATAAAAACACACCTTTTCCCAGCCCTTAAGGAACTCCTTTGACTATCTAACGTTATATCTTCTAGCTTGCTTCATGCATTTACTAAGAGAGTGAGTTCCTATGTTCTATTATCATTTAACAAGTTTCCTTTCTTGCTTCACAATATATCATGTATCTCTTTTTAGGCTACTATATAAAATACAGCTTATTCATTTTAATAATGGCATAAGATTATATGAGCATGGCATAATGTAGTTATTCAAAGAGCTGATGCTAGACATTTGAGTAATTTCCACCCTTGTATGTATTTTTATGCATTCTTGCTTGTAGTATTATGGGATAGGTTCTAGACACTGCTGGTGGGTCAAAAAGTCTTAGCATCACTTTAGTATGCAAATGATAACCAAGTTCATTTCAAGAGTCTCTTTGGGGCTCTGAAAATGTTTGAATTCAAATCTGGTAGAATTCTGCTATAAAAGAATTATCATTACCCTGATCTTGTGCTCTATGTGTTTGGTACTACATTTCATTTTTCAATAATTTTGTGATGCTTTTGATACAGAGAGACTTCTAAAGAAGAAGTGGCTATGTATCGATACATTGTAAGTAATTCTCAAAATGAAGCTACTTGTGACCCATCCTATACATGATTAGACATAAGTAAACAGCTCTTATACCCAAGAGTATATTACCAGTTCAGTGGTGACAGTTGAGGGTCAAATTATATTATTTCCTTTAGGATTGGTACAAGAACCCATCAAGAAAACAATTCGGCGCTTCTTCTGAGCTAACCATGTGGTGGGTTTTGAAGGAACATTTTATGGGCTGTGGGAGGGAGTGTGGAATGACTTGAGGTTATAAATGGTAGTGTAATTTCTTGATTGTAGACATCTCACAGAAACCCTCACTCTTGCAAGAGATGTACAATTGTTTGTAAGTCTGCTATATGCCTAACAAATCTAAACCCATCCTTATCTTGTAGACATTTGAAGTCAGAGTGTAACCAAACTATCTTCCTTCATCTTTGACCCAAATCCCACTACTTATTTGGGAGCTTCAAAGCTTTACAATGGTACACTCTAAAATGGATACAAAGCACACAGCTTTCAAGATGTTTAAAAACGAGATAAATATTTTGATTATATAAATGGTGAAGCTAACAGTGCATTCTAAATCATCTGCCATCATGTAAAATATTTGCTGTAAACGGCTGTCGGAATTTTACATTCTAACACACTATAGATAACATGATATAACTAAAAATTTCCTAAATTTTAGGGCTAAAAGCTTTTTGGTGATAATTTGGTACAGCTCCCTGTTCCTTCATATCTTGACTGTGAGACCTGGGGCAAGTGAATAACTCTCTCTATGCCTCAGTTTCCTCATTTATAACCTGAGTGCTGTTAGAAAGAAAGAATTAGATAATAAATATTAATGTTAACTCAAGGTTTAGGACTATTAAGTGTTTTATATCAACACAGTGTTACTATCCAGTAGGTTTAGATTATGATGCTGAGCAGATCACTTAACTTCCCTCAGAGTCAGCTTCACCCAGAAAGTAGAACAGCAATCATTATATTGTCCACCCTGAAGGCTTGCTGTGAAGATCAAACACACCGATGTATTTGAGGGAAGAAGACAATGCTTATGTAAATGTAAATAATAATTATGAAGGTTATTGTTAATGATAAGCCTTATATTCAAATTTGACATTAATATTGTTCAAAGATTTCAGTGACTCTGTACTTTTCTTTTATATCAGTTGGAACAGAAAAAAGGGAATGGAATGGCTACAATTTCCCATGGGCCATACAGGTAGGAGATGAGTTTATTCATAGCTCGTACATTTAGTTCTGATTTTCCTTCCATTTAATTTGGTATGTGCAGCCTTTTGGTGAGAGTTGTCAGAAGGAGATCAAAGTACCTGGTGGTTATTTCACAGATGCTGTAATTGGGCTCTTGCATTCATGAAATAAGTTGTTTCAGTTGGTCACACTATAGCTGTAGCAGCCTGCCTGATGTCTCTTTGTAGTGAAGAGAAAATGGGGTCCAAAGTAGTTGTAATTTGGGGATGTAGAAATAAAATGTTTGTTGTGGTCAATAAGGTCAATGAAATACTGGGAAAACAAAAACAACCCTATGGAAAGCATCCCTGATAGTGTTCACTCATGGTTCAGTTTCTCTTGGAGCAGTGGCTACTGTGGTCTGTTTTATGCACACCATGAACGACATATAGCCAAAGGAAGCTCATGAAGAGGTCTTTGATATGTCCAAGGTGCTGGATTGAGGGTCAGCTGCAAGTAAGAGGAGAGGTTTAAAAAGTGGAGTCCTGTTCACAGTGGAAATATGAATTCTAAGAATGGATAGGCTCCAAATGGGAGGGGTAGGATGAGTGAGGACTTCATTCACTACCTATAGGTGAAGAAATGGAGAGGCATTCTTTAGACTGGGCACACAGAGAAGTTTGGTGTAAAGACAGGGCCAGCTAACTTTCAAGTGTTGTTAAGAACCTCAGCGAATGTGTGCAATGGAAATGGGAAAAAAGTTTATGAATCTGAATTGTTCCCCCTAATAGAATATTATAAGAATTTAGAATACCCAAGGACCTTCCTTATTTTAGAGGTTGAGTCCAGAGACAGCTCTATTCTTCATTATATTTTAGTGGATTAAAATAGCCAGTGGAGTTTTAGAACTGAATGAAATGATGTCATCTCCCTAAATCTCAGTTCCCTCGTCTGTAGAATGGGAACAATAACATCACTATCTCCTGAGGTTGTTTGGGAAGTAAATTGAACCAAAACATGTGAAGCAAGAGCTCCACAAATGTTATCTATCTATCTATCATCATCATCATCATTGTTATTTTCTAGAAATAAGCCTTCAGCAGAACACTTCTGTATAAACTAATTGGACATGTGCCTATTTGCCTTATTGCAGTAATGATGGATAAATTGGAGGCCCAGAACGATAAAAGGTTTTCTCTGAAATAATAACTCCTGAGTACTCCATCTTCTCTATTAATTATTATAAACTCCTAGAGAAATCTCCTAGCTAGGCAATTTCAACATAATACAAATGTTGCTGACCATTCTTTAAAAATAGGTTTTGAGATGTCCATGTTGATTACAAGAAAAATGTATGAGAAGATTTCAATGTACTGTCTTTCATCATTTCTGAACATCTGTCATTTAATAGCTATACAGTGTTTTCCATTTGTGGACTACCAGTGAGGGCAATCCTACAGAATTTCAGTACCACTGACCAAAATACACTTTGTTGATCTAACGGCAATGTTTTCTTTTGCTCCTTGTTTTATAGTTATGCCTGTTGGGTAATTATAAAAGCAAACTCCTCTTTAACATCTGTGGAACTGATCAGCAGGATCCGAAATAAAATACATGGGAACCTCACACATGGGAACTTCACACAAGATCAATTGACTCTGCTAGTAAAGTCTGACCAAGTTGTAGTGAAAAAGCTAGGTAATTATTTTGGTATATATTTTGGTATGAATTTACTTATTATAAAATTCATAATGTGTGTACTGAAAGGAAGCTTGTGCTCAGAGGGAAGAGATGCCACCTTTGTTTTCTTTGAGATAAGGTGTCATGTTGTAGTCCAGGGTGGCCTGGAACTCATTTCATAGCCCAAGTGGATCTTGAACCCATGAAAACCCTCCTACCTCAGCCCCCCAAGTTATGAGCTTGTAGGTATGAGCCATGATGCCCACCTGAGAAATCATCTTTACATAATGACTACGTCCACATGCTCTGATGACCTTTCTACCTTTAAGAGAATATACATGAGTAGAGTGCCAGAGGGTTTACAGGGGACTATAGGTCAGCTGTGGATAGTACCAGTGGTTGGTCTATGAGTAGAGTGGTAGGATTGTCTCTCTTGCCTAAATACCCAGAGAGATCCATAATTATACAACAGATACCCTATAGATATTTGAAAATTTGTAGATTCATTCAGTCAACCTATTCATCTTAGGAAGTGATCTAGGCACCGTCCCAAATTCTCCTCATGGATGTTTTTTTTTTTTTTTTCTAATTAGGAAGGCCTCAGTGGTAAAAGAGAAAAATGACCAGGCCACCACACCTCCTTTCCATTGCTGTCAGCTTTGTTCCTTTTCCCCAGTAGACTGCTATAAAAACTTTGAGTTAAAACATAAGCGTTAGAATGGATTGTCCTTGCCAGCAAACTAATTAAGTAGCAGAAGCTGTGACTACACAAAGTTAGAGTGGGACAAAAGCAGAGAAGAGTGGAGGCAACAGGCAGAGCCCACCATGTAAATGACACTAATCAGTGTCTCCTGAAAGTGAGAAGGAGGTGATTTTCTTTGCTGCTCACAGAGAAGATTGGGGTGGCTGGACAGGCCTGGCTGGCTCACTTCTTTGGCTACTCTCAACGCTTAAGGGAACGATTTCCAGAACTGGGGTCATGGGCTCAGTGGATGTACTGGGAACTTCCCACATAGACTTAACCCACATCACTCTTAACATTAGAAGGCCTGGCAGAAAAAACGCAGTGTAGCAGCCCTCCATGTGGGAGTTAGTTCTACCCATCAGCACCAACACCAGAAGCATTGCTCCCCTGTCTGCATTGGTTGTTATGGGAATACTGAGTTTACTGAAACCAAATCTACCTGAGACTGTTAAGAAACAGATGACTATCTGGGAAGAGAAACCTGCTCACCGTCTCTTTTTTTTAAAAAATATTTTATTATTTGTATTTTAGTGTATGAGTGTATTGCTTGCATGTATGTAAGTGCACCTGTGTTATACAGTGCCCACAGAGGTCAGAAGAAGGTGTTGGATCCCCTTGAACTGGAGTTATAGTGGTAAGCTGCCATGTGGGTTCTGGGAATCGAACCTGGGTCCTCTGCAATAGTAACCAGTGCTTTAAACCGTTGAGCCATCTATTCAGCCCCCTGCTGCTCACAATCTCTTTTGTTTCCATAACAAACAGACAATAGTGGGCACTTCAGAAGAAAGACATTTGGCAGATGGGGGCTTCAGATGTGTTACTATAGTATCAATTTATGTGGCTTGATTTTTTCCCTAATGTACATAAACCACTTAAAAAAACCAATTTCTAAAATTCATTATATACATGTATGAACCTTCCAAAGAATAAAAATGGAAAAAAGCAACTTTTTTTCCTGCCAGTGGATGGTTCTAATGAAAAGGACTATACCTGAGGTTATACTGGATGGCTTATTTTAAAAAGGCTCCATTTAAAGTTGTTTTTGAGTGAAGCCTGGTTTGAATGTCCTGGTTGAAACAGTTTCTTCTTGTATTTGCTCATGGTTATGTGCAGGATAAAAATGATGGGTCATAATGGATGTCCATGATACTTTAAGTGCCTTTTGCCCTTGGAAATGTTGCATACATTTTTCTCTTGTAGAGCCAGGAAAATGCAACATGGATGAAACACCCTCGAAATACAAAGGAACATATAAGTGGCTGTTAACTGACCCTACTGAGACAGCCCAAACAAGGTGCATTAAAAATGAGAGAGAAAATGCCACAAGAATCTGGTATGTGTATTCCGACTTCCAATTCCTAGATCATATACACCGAGATCTGCTTGGTTTGGACTGTGGTCTGACCACATACACTATGAAAAAATATCAATAGGACAAAAGAGAAAAATCACCCACAGTCCCTCCACTTCAACACAGCTGTCTTTAGATTTTTGTTTTGCTTTGTGTATTTCTCTGTCTCTCTCTCTCTCTCTCTCTCTCTCTCTCTCTCTCTCTCTCGGCTTTCTCTGTACACTGTTTTCTGTAGTGCTAACTGTGGTTCTCATACCAGTAATGTAATTTACCCTTTCACCCAATGGTTTCTCAAATATTTTCTGTTTTATATTCATCTTAATGATCAATAAATCAGCCTCAAATGCTATCTCATTGCTGGGCTAATTTACACCACTCTTCCCTTGTTGGTGTTATCATTTTCCTTTTCAAAATCTTCAGCCTTCTTTTTCTTACTTTGCTGTTAATGGTTTATGCCATTAACTTAAATGGGTAAGACAAGAGGGGCAGCAGGGTTTGATGGAGGTTTGAAATCACTCATAGAAAGCCACATCTCTGACTCTATTGTACTTATGTCTGCTTATATCTAGTCAGTCAGCAAGGTAGGAAGGCAACTTTGATATCCACAGTCGGAGCTCACCAGTCTTTCCTTTCCAATCCACTGCACGTAAAAGCCTTTTTCCATCTCTTGCCTAGTATTAGAACAGTCTCCTCACCTCACAGTCCACTACCCCCCAATGCCAACTCTCAATGCTGCCAGCACGATTTTCGAAAAGTCTGGCTGCTGTCATAGCACACTTTTGTTTAAGAATGAAGTCCAAACCCTGAACACAGTCATCAAGTCAGCAGGTTGCCTTTCCTGTCATTTCATTCAGCTCCATCCCTTTACCATGCACTATAACCAAAGAGATAATTTGTTATTGTGGACATGATGTCCACTTCCTTGTGTCTTTCTCTGCTGGGTAGCAGCAGGGAGGTATTTGTCTTTCTGTCTCTGTCCTTTCTGTGCTAGGTTTAGCTCAGTTTAAACACTGAAAATTCTCCTTAGTCAGTTTCCACCTGTATTCACATCACTTCAAAAGCTGAGACACGAGAATTGTTGTGAGTTTGAGGCCAGTTTGAGCTACATAGTAACTTACAGGCTAGTCTGATTTACAGAGCGAGACCCTGTCTCAAAACCAAAATAAAGTAAAGAAACGAATGAACTTCCCAAAACAAAAACCAAAAATGCAAAACTCTCCACCACTACGATCACCACCACAAAACAAACATATACACAAAGAGAAAGAAAGAAAGAAAGATGGAGAGAAAGGAAGGAAGGAATGAAGTAATGAACAAAAAAAGAGAAAATTTTCCCTGTGTGGTGTTTTGATAGATTCATTTTCATTTACACAACTTTTTCTCATATTTTGTATTAGTCTGATTGTCGAAGCTCTTGGTGAGGCCCAAGCCCCTACCCTGTTCTTTTTGTTTTTGTCTTTTTGAGACAGGGTCTCCCTGCAGCCCCAGCTATCCTGGAACTCACTATATAGACCAGGCTGGCCTTGATTAAAGGCGTGTGCTACCATGCCCGGCCGTATCGTGTTTTTTTATACTGCCTGTTGTCATCCCTAGAGTCTGTGGGTGCTCAGTGCACATGGTGACTCATTTAAAGTGGGCTGAAGCAGATGAGGCAGAGGGAAGGGTAGATGGTGAAGGACGGTGTGCCACAGAAGGTCCTTAGCCACTTTGAGAAAACTCGTATGTGGAGAGAATGAATTCCAATAGGAATTTCCTCTTAAAAAGAGGCAAGAGCAGAAAGCGAGGGGAAGGAGTCATATCTAAAGGGATAGCATCTGTGCCTTGACTATTGGTGAACTGGAACTTGCCCTGCCCCATCCCCATCTACAGAGCTCCCCTCTGTATTTTCTTTGCTTGAAGGCTGGTGATGGACAGAGGAAGGCATGCCAAAGGGACCTTCTTTTCCCCTACTTGCTTTTAAAAATTTTATTTGTATTATTTTAATATTATTTTTTATGTGTATGAGTGTATTGCCTGCATGCATGTAAGTGCACCTGTGTCATGCAATGCCCACAGAGGTCACAAGAGGACATCGGATTCCCTGGAACTGAAGTTAGGATGAGTGTTAGTAGCCATGTGGGTGCTGGGAACTGAACCCAGGTCTTGACTGCTGAGACATCTCTCTAGCTAGTTAGTTAGTTAATTACAATTATTAATTTTGAGATAAGGTCTCACCTTGTAACCCATGCTGGCCTGGAATTCTTGGTGACCCTCCCGCCTCAGCATGCTATGTTTACAGGTATGAACCTCTATGCCCAGCTACAATCACTTACTTTATGACTATCTTTGTCTCATCCTCCAATGAGAAAGCTGGATAATGCCTCTTGTTTCTCATCTCTTTTTCAGTTCAGTCAGCATCCAAACTGGCAAGTCTCAGTGGGACAAACCAAGATTTAAGAAATGCAAATTGCTTCAAGAACTCCCTAATAAGATTGTGGATCTTGCTAACATTACCATAAGTGACGGTAAGATCATTTTTTTTTTGTCTTTTTTGAGACAGGGTCTCCCTGTAGCCCCAGCTGTCCTGGAACTCTCTATGTAGACCAGGCTGGCCTTGAACTCATAGAGATCTGCCTGCCTCTGCCTCCTGCATGCTGGGATTAAAGGTGTGTGCCACCATGTCCGGCGGTAAGATCATTTTGTATACATCAAAGAGAACATGTTTGCCTTTGTTTGTCTACTTGACCCACACCAGAAAGAGTATAGGCATACCTCCTCCATGAAAACTACCTTACAATAACCCCATTTCAGAAACTAGGTATTTAACATTGGTGGAGGTGATAGAACCATCAGAGCTTTGTGTTTTGTTTCGTAGATTTTTTTTTTTTTTTTTTGAGACAGAGTCTCCCTGTAGCCCCAGCTGTCTTGGAACTGGCTATGTAGACCAGGTTGGCCTTGGTGTACAAATGCTGGGATTAAATGTGTTTGTTAACCTCCCAAATGCTGGGATTAAATGTGTTTGTTACCAGTCCAGCGCATATTTTGTAGATTTTTACTTGGAAAATTTTTTACTGTTATTTTCTCTTTAGTTTTAATATTTTAAAGATTTTTTAAAAAGACTGGCCTGGTGGCATATTTCTGTAATTCTAGCACTTGGGAGGCTGAGGCAGGAGGTTCTTGGGTTCAAGGACAGTCTGGGCCACATAGTGAGACTCTGTCTGAAAAACAAACAGGTTGCTAGAGAGATGGCTCAGTGGTTACGAGCACTTGGTGCTCTTGCAGAGGACCTGGGTTTTCGTTCCCAGCATTCACATGGAGACTCACAATGGTAGCTCCAGTTCCAGGAGATCCCACACCCTCTTCCTGCCTCTGTGAGCACCAGGCATGCACATGGCACACATACATACATGCAGGCAAACACTAATATAGATAAATTAAAAATGCAAATCTTAAAAAGAAAGCCTTGACAAAAACACACAAAGGACCTCCAAAACAGAAACATCAATTATGAACTAAAAACCTGCTCTAATAGATATCATACATGTGGCATGGATTGTTGGCAAATAGGATATAATTTTGTGTACAAGTTAGGCAGTACAAATTTGTACTAAAGCATAAGTTCTCGAAAGTGGGATTGCTGGGGTCAATCATATAATATTCAAATGCTCTTTGTAATAGTTATATCAATTTATAATCCCAGTCACAAGGTATGAAAGCGCATGTTTCAAAATGCCTTCATCAACACAGTATGTTATCAGGTTTTTGGGTTTTGGTGATTTGTTTAAGAAAAACCAAATTACAGCACAGAGTAGTTTATAAACTTTTAATGGCGGTAGTCACGTGTTCCACACTTAATGAATACAATTCAGCGGGTTACTTTAGCCTGAGCTTTTCCTCATTCACTCAGTTGTACAGCTATCATAAATTCTATAGTGGAGATTTGTTATAATGGTCCATTTCATTACCCACAAAGAATCCCTGTACCCATTCGTATTCCCTCTGTTTCTTTCTCCCCTCAGTTCTTGTGTACTACTGATCCACTTTCTAGCTGCATGAGTTTGGCTTAGTGTAGGCATCTCAAAATGTTTTTGAGGTTTCTTCATATTGTAGCATAGGCCAGCACTACATTTTTATTGTTATTTATTTATTTAATTTATTTATTTATAATATTTTATTTATTATTTTTATTTCATGTGTATGGCTGTATTGCCTGCATCATCTAAGTGCATGCATGTTGAGCAATGCCCATGGAGGCCAGAAGAGGGCACTGGATCCCCTGGAACCGGAGTTATGGATGGTTGTTAGCTGCCATGTGGGTACTGGTATCTGAACCTCAGTCCTCTGGAAGAACAGTCAGTGCTCTTAACTGCTGAGCCATCCCTCCAGCCCCCGGTACTCCATTAAAAAAAAAACATTTTTATTGATTTTTTTGTGTATTTCATATACAACATCTTGGTCCTCTTTATACCCTCTTCCCCATCAGTGCCCTCCGATACCGCCCCCTCCACTGGATTTCATGCCATACTCCATTTTAAATGACAGATTAATAATCTAGCAAATTGATCCATCACATTTTGTTGATTCACTCATCAATTAATGGCCATTTGGTTGTTTTCACCTTTTGGCTACTATTTATAGTCAGATTATGAACATATGTAGCACAAATTATTGTAGACACAGGTTTTCTTAGGATATTTTGAAGAGTAGAATTCATAGGTCACCTGGTAGCTCTATACTGAACCTTTGAAAGAACTGTAAACCTGTTTTCAACAGCTGCTGTGCCATTTTTCATCCCTGCTGACATTGTCTGAAGGTTCCAATTTCCACATATCTTTGTAGACACTTGTCCATCTTGTAGGTTACAGTTGGTGGAAATGCCTCCCATCCCCAGCACTTGCACTGTTATTGCTAGTTTTAGTGTCTTGTGTCTTTTCTCTTTTTGTCTTGCTGAGTCTAAGGAAGATGTTTTGAATTTTTCACACAGTTTATTTCTTTAGAGGAGATACAGGTAAATAGCCACATCTAGTGTTTTGAAATAAGAGTCATGCCGTGTAGCCCAGGCTGGTCTGTAGCTTGCTATGAAACTCAAGACGGCCTTGAACATGATCCTCTTCCCCCAGCTTTGTAAGTGCTAGGATTCCAGGCATGTGCCACTCTGCCCAGCAACAGCAGTAGCACCATTGAACAGAAAGGACAGAGTTCTTCTATGGGCTCCCTCACATGTATAACCCTCTCTCACTGACACCATAGTGGAAGATTTATTATAATGGATGAACCTATACTGATATCATCACACAAAGTTCACACTTTACATTGCGATTCACTCTTGGTTTTGTATGGTCTGTAACTTTATAGAAATGTACAGTGACATGTATCTTCACAATCAGTTCACGGCCCCTGACAATCCCTTTTGTTACACTTATTCATTTCCCTCTAATCTCTGGCATTCAATGGTCTTTTTACTGTCTCCATTGTTTTGTCTTTCCCAGAATGTCACATAGTTGAAATCATGCAGTGTATGTCTTTTTCAGGTTGACTTCCTACCCATGCGTTTTGGTTCCCCTATGTCTTGCAATGGCTTGCCAGCTCATTTCTTTTTAGCACTGAATAATAATATCCCATTGCCTGGATGTACAGCAGTTTATTTGCCTCTTCACCTACTTAAAGACATGTGGGTTGCTTCAAAGCGGTGGCAACTATGCATAACCTGCTACAAACCTCTGTATACAGGCTTAAACTCATGGATATAAGTATTAAACTTGACTTGGTAAATATCAAAGAGTGTGATTACTGACTTATATGATCAATGTATAAACTTTAGTTTTGTAAGAAAGTACCACTATTTTCCAAAGTGGCCATATAAACTTTGTATCCCCATAGCAGTGAATGAGAACTCCTCTTGCTCCACGTTGTCTGCAAAATTTGGTGTTGTCAGTATTTTGGATTTCGTCCATTCTAATAGGTGCAGAGAAGTACCTCATTGTTTCTTTAATTTGCAAACTCCCTAGTGTTATATGGTATTGAATACCTTATATGACATCTCTGTATCTCTTTTGGTGAGGTCTTTGCTATAGACTGAATTTTTCTGCCACCCACTTCTCCAAATATGTATGTTGAAATCCTAATCCCAATGTGAAGGTAATGTTGGGGCCTCTGGGATATCATGAGTACAGAACCCTCATAATTGGATTTGTGCCCCAATAAAAGACACCTGAAGGATCTTGATTGTCTCTTCCACCATGTGAAGTCACAGTGAAAAAAGACTGTCTCTGAACCAGGAAATAAGGATTTAAAGTATAGCAAATCTGTTTTTATCCTAGAATTTCCTTTTCTACAAACCTTGTCAGATATGGCTGGCTGTATTGCCTTAATGAATGGCCATAAATTGAAGCATAGGTACACCAGGACCTTGCAGAAGGCCCAAGGTATGGCCTGAAGGTAGAGACGTTTTCAGGCTTGTCTTCTTTGCAAAACTTTACATTTGAGATCTTTGCCAAGGAAGGTGTAGCAGAGTTAGCAAAGTTAGCCCAATTCTGATATCCTAGATGGGAAGTGGTGAGTCAGGGAGGGAGTGCTGCAGGCTGTAGGGAGTGGGCAGAGAGACAGAGCACTGTTTCATGTTGACCTCCCTCCTTTGGAGTGACACATTTCCTTTATACATGCTAATAGAATTTTCTTTTGTGGAAGGAAAAGTTAACAAATAGCTATAAGTAGAATAAAAGTGCTGCGTTGGGCTGGGAGTTTTAGGAAATTGGCTGAGAAGTTGCTGTGGAGTAAGAGAGCTATCAGATTGATGAGGATTCTAACACAGGCAACTGAAAAGTAAACCACAAGCCTATTAGCTTTGGAGGAAGCCTCATCTTTGAAACTGGGAGCTTAATGAACAATGAGTACAATGTAAAGGAATGAAAGTCATGTTGAAACTATTTATTTACTCAACTTTTTAATTTTGTTGACAAGCATTAGATAACTTATTGGAAAAAACTCTATAGTTCTCCCACTTAAATACTTGTTTTTAAAAACTCCTAATATAACACAATTAGAGAAAGGACTTCTTATTTCAAAGTTCTTTGAGCTCTTTCTTGTTCTCAGTGTTTGTTATTCACATGATACTAAGGATGCATCAGGCTGGCATGAACTTCACTCTCGTTTTCCACCATCATGGCAGGCAGGACAGTGAGTGATTAACAGAGAACAATACAGGCTGGGGTGCAGCTCAGGGATGGAGTACATGCCTAGCATGTACAAGGAGGCAAAGCAATGACATTTCAACACAGTAAAACAGAGAAAAGAAATAAAGACACAGAGACCATGGCCAAAAGTGATATTAAGAACTCAAGTTTTGGAGTCAGAGAAGTTTATAATGTGTCCATGCCTTCACTTAATCTGTCTAAAGGAGATAATATGAATATTCATCATGTGAGGTTGTTGCAATGAATAAATGAGAAAATGTGTGTAAAATGCTTTGCAGTTATAGCTCATCCTCAAAATGCCAAACACCAATGCATCCCTTCCTCTTCCATTAGTGCTGGATTGTCATTGCTTAGTGTGGTAGAATTTGGCAACAGTGACATAATCATGAATGGGATTAACTTTTAAGATGACAGGAAGTGTCTGCATCCTTTTTCTTGATTCACCCTCATCTAGGATGCTTTAGCTCAGAACCCAGCCAGACACCATGTTGGGAGAAGTCCAGTGATGTGTTAAGAAATATTTAGTAACTAACTCCATCCCCAAAGGGTAATGATTTGTAGCATTTGCCAATTTTTATGATATACTATTCCTCTCACAACTAAATGCAACCTTTACTATGTAGGCGGTGAACTGTAAAGTTGGTAAGGGATGTACACGGAGCAGTGGATGTAAATAATACAAAACTATCAGTGAAATATAGCAAAAAATTAAGTAATGATGGGCTTTTTGGAAATAACCATTGTTTTAGTATAATTTCATTATAAGTTGAAATAATTTAATATTAATGGTCCCTGAGTTTAATAACCAGACCACAAAAATCCTATAAACCTGCAAGTGGGTTCTCATAAACTGTCACAAGCTAGTTCCAGTGCATGCTGGATTCAACATACATCTGCGCCTAAGTCACTGGAAGGGGCAGTGTAGAAGGTGTGCAGCCCACAGCCCCAACCAATTAGCATATGCTCAGCATCAACTGCCAGCCCTAAGAGGGTTCCATTTGGAACTTAGAGCCCAGCTTAGCTTTCAGATGGTTCGAGCCCTGGCTTCAATCCCGTTGCAACTGCTTGAGAGATCCCAAATGAGAACTGCTCATCTGAGCCCACTCAACACACAGAACTGCAACAGATGACGATTAACTGTTCCTTTAAGCTACTAAGTTTTGGGGTAGTTTGTTATGCAGCAAAACACAGCCAGAAAATTGGCTCATAGAAATTGTTCAGTAAATAATTCATACGATTATCATTTTGGTTGTTACAATTAGTGGCAGATTAATTGAACGAGTATCTCAAGCAACAAGGATTTATTCTGTAACTAATAAAAGTAGATTCCTTTCTTCACTCTTGCTTAGGGACCTAGAATTTTTACTCAAAAAGTATAATTTATCCTGAATTTTTCCTGAAAAGTATGTAATTCCAGATGAAAAGTCTGTAATTATTTTCCACAGTATAGTCTCCCATTGGCCTGTTGTTTACTTTCATTCTGCCACAGCAGGCACTGCATGAAGTGCAGTGACACCACTGAAACTCAGGAATCATGACTAGGCAGCTCTGGCTATTCCATTTTCAGAATAGCTTGAGCAATTTAATAACAGCAGCAGACAGATCTGTGAAGGACTTTACTGTCTTTTTCTTCCATTATTAATATCATTGTTTTCTTTAAAATTTATTATATTTATTTATTTGCGCACGTGTGTGTGTGTGTGTGTGTGTGTGTGTGTGTGTGTGTGTGTGTAGGTTAGAGGACAATTTTCAGGTAGAAGGAGTTCTCTCCTTCTACCATGGGGGCTCTGGGGATGGAACCGAAGTCGTCAGACTTGGAGGCAAGCGCCTTTACTTGCTGAGCCATCTCACAGGCCTATGTTTTCTTAGTTTATTTTTTAATGGACCAGAAGATAGATGTTAGTAGGGACAAAATATTAATTTAGAAACAATTACAAAGTTAGTGAATTTCCCCCTCCTTCCAGTCTCCTCATGGAGAACCTGTTCTTCCTTCCTTGTCAACTCAGTTTCCATGTAAGACATGGGTAAACTGAGGTAATGGGGAGGGGCTTTTGAGGGCCTCTGTTAAAATTGCTAAATTTCCATTGATGAGAACAGAATGCTTTGAGAAATAAAGGGGACAAATAAGAAAATGGCAAAAAGAGTAGAAAGGAAAAATAATAAATAACCTGTGTATGGAGTTAAGTGGTAGGTTGAAAAGTGAATCGGAGTGATGCTGACAACTGTGGAAGAAAATGTGGGGTAGAAAACAGGAGGAGGAGCAGGAGGAGGAGGAGCAGGAAGAGGGGCAGGAGGAGATAATTTAATGCTCAATTATTTTCTTTTCCCAAACACAACAGGTTATTCATAATATAATCTGAGATACATATGTGAAGAGGGTAATCTCTTTCTGGAATCTTTCTTAACAGATTGAATTTTGGTTTTGAACATATTTATTTGTTTTTATTTTATGTGTATGAATGATATGCCTGGATGCATGTATGTGTATCATGTGTGAGCAGTGTCCATGACAGTCAGAAGAGGGTGTCAGAACCCCTGGGCGGAACCAGAGTTAAAGATGGTTGACAGCTGTCATATGGGTGCTGGGAACCAAACCAGGGTCCTCTGTGAGAACAGCAAGTGCTCTTAACTGCTGAGCGAGCTCTTCAGCCCCAGATTGTAGTCTTTTCTTATTTTTTCCATTTATATTTTGATTACTGGGCTTGAATGTGAATGCTTTAAGGTAGGAAGATATAGCAAGGAAGCTCAGCTTTCTACGGATTGTAGTGAAGTAAAATCTAACTTGCACTGTATTTGTTTAACCATACCCTTCACTTTAAAAGAGGGTGATGATTTAAACAAAACAATGATTTAAACAAGTATTTATGACATAATTAAGGATATTCGAACACTAATTGCATATGTGATGCTGTGAATATTACTGATAATTTTTCACCCTCATTTTTAATTAAGATCATGGTAAAGACAAAGAAAAGTTTTTCTTTTAAAGGTATGTACTAAAGTATTGATGGGTGAAATAATAAGATCTGGTTTGGGACAGAGGTAGTTGAGAGAGTGGGTAAAATAAGATTAGCCTTTCACTGACACTTGCTGAGGCTCAGTGATTCATGAAGCACATGGGAATTCATGAGACTGTTCTTTTGATTTTGAGTGTGCTTGGAAATTTCCATAATAAAAAGTGAAGAAAAAAGTGGGCGAGCTAATATCTATTGTTCTTCCTCTCTAGAAAATCTAAATTAATTGCTTTTTATTATGTGGTCCATGTTTGCTTTCTTTCTTCTTGTGGGTTGATAGTTCTTGACAGGAAATTATAATCACACCCCTTTGGTTATGAAAACTTAGGCTGAATGTTTGCTGATATTTGAGTATAGGTGGGATCTTCTTAACTCTCTCCAGTACTTAAAAGTCTTAACTTAATTAGCATCAGGTTTCAAGATAATTCTTCAGTGACAAAAAGATTTCCCCCAGTGCGTTGGAAAGAAGGCTTAGTGAATACAAAATTGACTTTGGCGCTTTCCTCTTTCTGGGACTATACTTATTGTAGAAATTGAGGTCCAATAGTTTCCTTTGGTAAACCATGTTCCCTTGGTTTGTATTTATACCTCATTGCCCTTTCCTTCATACAAGTAAAAAGGCCGTGCAGCACGGTCCCACACTAATAGATAACTGGATGTTATCTGTTTCCACTTTGTTTCTGCAGAGAATGCAGATGATGTGGCAGAGCACATTTTAAATTTGGTAAACGATTCTCCACCTTTGGATGAAGAAGAGACAAAGATCATTGTTTCTAAAGTAGCCGATATTTCAAAATGTGATGAGATAAGTGTGGACTTAACCAAGATTATATTACAAATAATCAGTGGTGTCACAGAAAAGCAAAACGATTCAGCTTCCAATCTGCCTCAAGTATGCAATGAGTAAGTGCGAATGCCTTGATGTAAAAAAATGCTTTCATGAAATTGAAATTATACAATATTGCTTCCTCAGCATACAGACAGTTATGCATCACAAATGGTCTAGTGTAATAGATAATGAATTCCAATTTGAATTAAATCTTACTGATAATGGCTTTTCAAATAAATATTCAAAACTAAATCTGAAAAAATACCCCACAAAATCAGAAATGTATTTTCCCAACCCTGGTTCTCCTCTAGTGTTTCACATTTCTATAAATGCATCCAACTCATGGTAAAATGAAAAACCTGACAATTGTCCTGGTTTTCATCTTCTACCTTATAGTCACACAATGACTTTTTTTCCTTCTTGGGAAAGTGATAAACTTATTTTTATTTTTTATAATATTTTATTTATTCTTTGAAAATTTCATACAATGTATTTTGATCCTATCCATCCACCACTACCTCCCTCTGACTGCTCTTAATGCTCCCTACCCACTATCCAAGTAATGAGGAATGTTAATTGGACACAGGGAGTTATTCTTAACAACCAAAAAGAGAACAGCAATTCTTGCATGAAGCACTGTACATATACGTTTTAATTTCTCAAATATGCTGGTAGAATCCATGCATTTCTCCCTTCCCCATTCCCAAACTCACTTCCCTCCCCTGTCCATCTGCCAGAGCCTCCTAACCCACCCCTCTGCTTCCACTCTTGCCCCTTTATAGCCCATTTTCTACTCAGCAGTCAGATTTATGTTTCAGTGCACATAGCAGATCACACCTTGCTTTTCAAACCACTTGGTGGCATTCCTTTACATATCAAATAAAATCCAAAGTTCTTCCAAGGCATACAAGGCTCTAAAGAATCTTCACAAATGACAATTTGGTTCAGTTTTGGAAATAATCCTTTAAAGGATGCATGCTGGTGTATTGCCTCTGACTTCTCTTGCAAGGGAACTGAAGCTTGGGGAAAACATTCTGGTCACCCATACAGAAATTGGAGGTGCTATGATATAGACCTCAGTCTGCTGGAGCATTCCAAAGCTAATGCTCTTCCTAAATAACATCAAGATGACGATAAAGGCCCAAAGTCAATCTTCACAATTAGGTTTTGCGAGGAGGATGGGTTGTCATTAACAAAGCAGACGGGCGTTCTTCACCTGTGCTTCTTTGTAGAATTCTGAGGATAATCGAGCGTGCTGGTTACAAGATGGAATTTGTGGGGACAACAGCAAATTTCACAGTGGCAAGGCTGGCTTTGGCTGTGCTGCAGGTGGACCACAGGTTTGAAGGTATGGCCTTCAGCATTGGCTCCTCTGAAGAACTCACAGACCCAGAGGTGAGTACAACTCAGAAAACTTAGAGTCTGTCAGCCAAGCACTATTCCCAGTCTTCACCCGTGGAGTTCTTAGGAGGGCAAAAGGGCACTTTTGAAAGGTTTTAATCCATAGGGGATCTTATGAAAATACAGATATCCCTGGTCAGATTCACATATACCCCTTGGTAGGCTAACATCTTAGTTGGACGGGTATCTATGAAATGTACAGTGATGCCACATTTGGTTCTATCACCTGAAATGATCTTAAATGTCAGCTTACTGTTGGCTATCTCATAAGGATCACTTATTCTTTTTCTATTTGAAATATTTAAAAAAAATTTTCACATTTATTTTTTAATTACTTTTTTATTATTCCAAAGAGATGCAATTTTAACACATTTTTCCAGAAATAACTTGAAGCAGGTTTATCTAAATATACATTGATTCTATCTATCTCTATCTATCTATCTATCTATCTATCTGTCTGTCTGTCTGTCTGTCTGTCTGTCTGTCTGTCTGTCTGTCTATCAATCATCTATCTATCTATCGAAGTTTAAGGGGGAAAAATAGGCATAAGAAATCAAAGACGAAAGAATTTGCCAACATAGGGTACATTCTTTCCACCAACCTCTTCTCCAAAAGTCCCTGAGCCTTGGAAGGGGCGATAGGTGTAGGGTGATCTTCTTCCCATTGTGTCAAGGCACTGAACTTTTGGGTCTCTGCATTGTCAGTTTTCCATGGGCTGTTGGCCCATTTCAGTGGGATTCCATTTACTATAAAAACACAAACAGCAAGAAACAAAAACATCTAAATAGTGGCTTCTATAATAACTTAACCTATGGGTATAAACACAAATGCTTGGATGGTATTTTAGCAGGTGTATCACATCCATCTAACAAAACAATTGCAGTGGCTTCCAACTGGGGCCTATATCCTCCCAATTTTTGTGTATTTTATAGAGAACATTGTAATCATCTTTATACCCCTTTCCACATTAACATCCTCCCATAACTCCCTCCCCCAACTGGAATTCAGCAGACCAAAATGCAGTACAGATCTGCGGAAATGGGCAGAAAGCCCTGATCTTAGTTAAAGAATTATTGGAAATTATTTTTTTCTGGGTGAGGAAGAGTTGATTTTCTTAAAGGGAGACACACTAGATAGGCTGACTAGACTTCAGTGGATGAACTTTCGCTGAGGGACAGATGCCTGGGAACATTAACTTGACACGATAGGCCTTAACACAAAAAGATCATCTATTGTATGTTGGATGTTGTGCTACTTAGACTTTTCTAAAAAGATAAAGAAATAGAAAAGCTAAGTGATGTGCCAGAACACACACCACTGAACAGGGTCTCCCTAGCCCCAGCCCATCTGGAACTCACTATGTAGGCCACGGTGGCCTCCATCTCACAGAGATCTGCCTGTTTCTGTCTCCTGAGTTAATGTGTGCTCCACCATGCCTGGTGGTCTCAATATACTATTAATTGAATTTTTATACATTTCATACAATACATATTAATCACATTTAGAACCTCTCCCCTATCTGCAACCCCCATGGCCTGCCCACTAGACTTCATGCTTTTTACAGTTTTCCTACAATATAGTTTGAGGGTATTTAGACGCCCACCCTCCCTTGTCTGTACCTCCCCGCCCCGCTGCCCCCACCCAATTTAATGTATATATATATATATATCTCAACCTATAGAGTCTGATTTGTGTACCCTGTGTGGGCTCATCCCCTGGGCCCACTGAGAGTGCAATCCCTGTAAGGCACTGTCTTTCCCCCACCCAGCAGTAGAGGGGTGGATGACCACAAGGAACAGAGTCTTCCAGACAACTGGTCAGTTACTCATATGAACTCACAGCAATGGTGACAGCATGCACAAGTCCTGTGCAAACTCAAAGACAAAATCCCACCATAGACATGGGGAAGTGGTTAAGAAATCCCAACCCCACCAAAGGAACTTTTGGCAATCTATATTTGTTTTTTTAATACTAAATAATATTCCATTGAATAAACATACCATAAACTTTTTATTATGCTCCTGTTACTGTATATTTGTATGTTTCCAGTTTGTTCATATTATGAAGAAAACTGTTATGAACATTTGCATAAAAGTCTTTGGGTGGACATACGTTTTCATGTATGTTGGAAAAATACCTAGGAATTAAATAGCTGGCTCGTAGAATATATACTTAAAAATATCCATGTTCTTTTGTTCATCTTCCTTGTTGACTTACCTATCAAATCTTCTGCTCATTTTTAAGTTGGCTTATAGTTCTTGTTAACTTGCCTATCATTTTCTCAGGGGCATCTTTTGAAAAGCACAAGTTTTGAATTGTCTTGAAATCTAATTTGTTGTAATTTTGTCTTGTGACTAGCACCAACAAGTAATGAAAATATTCTGTGCTTTTTTTCCCCCCTTAACCTTGACTGGGGCTGGAATCACCTGATAATGTACATTTCACACCACATTTCTCAATCAAATTTAGAACCCTTTTCCCATCAATACCCCCAACCCCCCTCTGGACCACACATGTTAATGTCTTATCCAGTCAAGCATTTGTATCCAGATGTCCTTGGGTGCAACTTCATCCACTGGAATCTAGTCAGACTATCTAGAGATTGTAAGTAAGGCCCACTCTCCCTCACCCAATAGTAACCAGTCACCAATTGTTCCAAGACTAGGGCCAGCCCACCACCCATTTCTCTCCTCCCCTCTGTACTCTTGTTTGATAAAGCTCATGGAACATAGTGGAACAGGGGATGGAGAGAATACTGGTGCATCTCTCAACTCTCACCTGCGAAGCTTCCTTATACAGCAGAGTGCACTGCACACAGAAGGCTACAAATGGCTATGTTTTAGAGAATAAGAGACTACAGAGCATGTGTCCTTGGATAGGACTCCTAGATTAAGCCTCACCCACCCACAGCTCAGGGACCATTGCAGAACAGGGAGTGGAAAGATTATAAGAGCCAGGGCTGGTTCATGAACAGAGGGAAGCAGAGGCTTCCAGGACACTGGAACCTTGTACATGTGAGCTCGTGGCAATGATGGCATTGAGCACAGGACCCATGTCAACTCAATCTGCACTTTCTGTTAGAAGGCCTTTGCTTTCGTTTCTATGTGTAAGATGATGAACCTACCTTTGATATAATGTATGAAATCTATTGTTCCATATGAATACTTAGGTTTTGCAATAACATTTCTTGGAAACTTTTCATTGCCCTTTGGCATTCTTTGTTGCCTTTGACAGAAAAACAGATCATAACAAAAATTCTTCATATAAAACAGTTGAGCAACATATTTCTATCTAGACTTTCCATATTGTTGCATTTATTTGTTTATTTTTATTTTACTTGAATTAGTGTATTGCCTGTATGTGTGTAGGTGCACCCATGTCGTGTAATGCCCACAGAGGTCAGAAGAAGTCACTAGATCCCCTGGAACTGGAGTTATGCACTGTTGTTAGCCACCATGTGGGTTCTGGGAATTGAACCTGAGTCAGTGCTTTTTAACCACTGAGCCATCTCTCCAGCCCCACATTTATTTATTTTTAAAATAAATCCTGTCACTGATACATTGTATTGACAGTTTTTGTGTATGTGTGCATGTGTGTGTGCACATGTATGGAGGCCAGAGGAAGATGTCAGGTTTCCTGCTGTATCAGTCCACACTCTGTCTCATCCCCTTGAGACAGGATCTCTCCTTGAACCCGAGGCTTACCATGTTTTGGCTGGGCTGGCAGCCAGTAAGTTTCTGTACCCCCTGCCCCAGCACTGGGGTTAAAGACAAGTATGATCTTGCCCAACCTTCACATGTGTACTGAGGATCTGAACTCAGGTCCTCATGCTTGTGCAGTAAGTGCTCTTACCCTCTGACCCACCTCCCAGGCCCCTGGTACTTTCAGTTTTGGAGTTAAGTAGTGGGAGTCCCTTACCTTTCTTCTTTTTAAAGATTACTATTCAAGTCTTTTCTGTGTCCATATGGATTTTACAACTGTTTAATAGTTTGTATAAAGTAACTTGCTGAGATTATACTTGGAGTTGAAGATATCAACCATTTTTAGAGGAATTTAATTCTTAACAAATAATTCTTAGCAATATTGAGTCTTCCAATCCAAGGATATGTATTTAGTTGTCTTTAAGTTTCTCTCAGAAATGTTTTCTAATTGTCAGTGGAGAGGTGTTGGATTTTGGATAGTTCATTTTTGGTGCTAGGGATCACACCACAAATTTTGCTTATGTGGGGCAAGTGATCTACCAGCGAGCTATAGCTTCAGACCTCAGTTTTGGAAACAGGCTGGCCTTGTACTCAGTATGTACCCCAGGTTGGCCTCAAACTCACAATCTTCCTGTCTCTGACTCACAGTTGGGGGCAGTAATGCTTCTGTCACGGCATCTAGCCCTGTTTTGGTAAATTCATTCCTAAGATGAATTTCCTAAATTCATTCCTAAATTCCTTCTTTGATGTTGTTGCAAACGAAATATTTTAAGGTGCAATTTTTCCGATTATTTTATGCTAGTATACAAAATAAAATTGATTATATGTAAGTAATAATGTGGGTTGACTGACCAGCTCTAACTCCAAAATTTAAAATGTTTTGTAGTTTGGGAATTTGGAGCATTTCAGATTTCAGATTTTGGCAAATATTTTATGTAAATATTCCATAATCGAAAAATTTCCAAATGTGAAAAACTTCTGGTCTCTAGCATTTTAGATAAATGATATTTGACTGTGCAAATAATTTATGTATCCTACGCACTTGCTAGTTTCACTTATTGGTTGTATTTGTTTTATAGATTCCTGGGGTTGTATATAAGCCATTCACTGACAATAGAGTTTTGTATCTTTCTAAGTGATCTTTATTTACTTTTTCTTTTGTGTGTGAATATTTGTGGTATATGTGCACGTGTGTATCCAGGTGCACATGCTTGAAGGCAAGAGTGAGGTCTACAGAACAGTAGGTGTCTTGCTCTATCAAATACTCTCCACCATTTTCCTCTGAGACAGAGT